CCACATGACACTTGACATCTGCTGTTTCAATTATTTGTATATTATGCATATGAAATATGCTATTACTATGATATAAATATTTCATTAATTTTATCTTTTTTATCTGTCATTTATCAGATAACAATTTCGTACAATTTATCAATTTTATCTTTCATTTATCAGATAACTGCTATTCTCGTATGCTTACTACAGCAGTTGCGGCAGATAGACAGCTTTGTACATTATTTTGATTGCAGCAGATGTTATTAAAATTGCTTAACATAACATGTAAATAATTGACCATGCTCCAAAAGTAATACAAAATTTCATAATGATATTCAAAACAAAAATACTATTACGGTTTTAATTAAAATTTTGTAACAGTTATATGGAACAACAAAACAGATATGTTTTCATCGACTAAATAATAGATTTATTTATCTATCTCTATATCTAACAGTAGGAGTAAAACTTTAGAAAGGACCATAGTTTTAAAATTATAGCAAACAAAAGTAAAGAGAAGTATATTTGAAAAAAGGATAGTATATTAAAACCGGTATGTCTCAATTTTGATAAAATAGACAGAAAACCGATTATATTTTTATATATTATTTGGGCATTGTTTTATACTAAATAATTATCTAGATACAATACTTAACATATGTACCATCTGAATTTAGATATAGTATCATATTAAACTGTTTAGCTACCTTAATTACACGTATTTTACATTTTAAAATATAATTAAAACTGCAAGTTAAACTAAAATATATACTATGCTCATCCTTGAGAACATATTTTAATCAAAGAAATATATTGAAATCTATAAAATTCTAACTGAATGTGTTTAATTTGAATAAAATAATGAATACATTATGTATGGTATTTCTTAAAGTGATATTTTTACAGTATTATATCTTTAATTATTTTTTGTTAAAAACAGAACAACATAATCTGGCCAGACAAAAAAGGTATAAAAAATGTGGAAAAAGTTTGTCACCTCATGGAAAATTGGTATCCTCCTCAACAGATAGGAGTTTTAATACATTTACTTGATGAAAACTATACATAAATCAAACTACTAAAAGTGTGAAATTGAAGGTATTGATTTACATACATGTTAATGTGACTTCAAGGAAAGGCGGCCGACTGCTTGATAACAAATAACTTCCTTTTCTTGTTGAGGAAGGAAGAAATAAATATGTCGGCGTAATAAATTCTTTTTCAGATCCATTAAACATAACACAATTGAATACATTTATCGTATTTAAGAAATTAAGAAATTAGAAAAAAATACGGATTTTCAAGATATTGACTGACTTGATAGTAAACAATGCAAAATACAATCAGACGGCTGGAACATGTCGGCAGATATAAGGCTGCACTTTTGGCATGGTTGGAATTTTCAGCCGCAAACAGTCTAAGCGTTAATGCAATGCTGCCGGATTTCGTTTATGCAAATTGAAAACTAGACCTAAAATTACTTTTATTTCTTTTCCCCGTAAGAAAAGTTGATATGAGCTTTATCGAACAATTGTTTTTACTATTCACCGTCTGAATGCCTTACACGGACTAGTTCAGCCAACTCACATTTTTGAGAATGTCCACTGTTTTATTAAAGTGCATATTTATGCATTTATCTATTGTATGAACTGTAAATAATACATGTACCATTTTGTACGATTTTAATGAGTTCATAATTCTAACCTATAATTTATCAATGGAAAACACTATTCCGACATTTGAAGTTAGTTCAAGAGTTTTGTGTGTGTTGTTTTACATGTGTGCAAGCGTACTTGCGTGGGGTTGCTTGTAAGTTAAGTTACATGGGCTTACCTTTTATTGTTAAATATAAGGGAACATGGAAAATTCCAATACCATTATCACTAATGTCCGATTTGATATATGTTAAATAGATATCAAGTCAGACATTAACCCATTGCTTCATGAGCATTTTGTGGAAAATGGCTGTTTTCATTGAAAAGTCTCCCGTTACAAGTTCAAATTGCTATAATACTATAAAAACTGCTTCAACACTAATCAAACTTGGCACAAATGTTGACTGGACCATTGTCCTTGCAACAACATGCTCAGGCTTAAATTTTCTGTTACCATGGCAACGAGGGGACATCACAAAATGGTCAAAAATCCCTATTTTGCGTTGAGGTTTCCCTCAAAACTGAGTTCAAAGTGTTACAATTTCTTTATGGATTGAGATAGAGTCAAATGCTTTTCAGCGTTGGTTACACGTTACCTTATGATCAATCTGGGGTCATTTACAGCCTCTCACAAGTCCAAAATTTTCTTGGCGATGAGGGGGACTCCGCCCCCCTTCAAACCCCCCAAACAGAAGGGGGCACATCCCCCTTCTGGCAACCCCTGATGTATCTTTTGGTTGGGGGGCCGCGCCGAAAAAAGGGTCACTTTTTTTAACAAACATTTCTCAAACAAAAACAAGTGTTTGGGGCCTAAATAAGGCATTTTTTCATCATTTGAGACAACAAAAAGGGGGGGGGGGTGAAAAAGGCGTTAAAAGGCGTGTATATGAAGTAATGGGTTAACAGAAAATGATGAAAATACTTGAAATTACCCTAAATCGCGTTTTTTCATGTTTAAACATGGCCTGTCATATAAATTTGAAGAAAAATTGTTGTTTTGTAGATTTTTTTATTTTTTTCATTAACCCATTGCTTCATGAGCATTTTGTGGAAAATGGCTGTTTTCATTGAAAAGTCTCCCGTTACAAGTTCAAATTGCTATAATACTATAAAAACTGCTTCAACACTAATCAAACTTGGCACAAATGTTGACTGGACCATTGTCCTTGCAACAACATGCTCAGGCTTAAATTTTCTGTTACCATGGCAACGAGGGGACATCTCAAAATTGCCAAAAATCACTATTTTGCGTTGATTTTTTCCATCAAAATTGATTTCAAAGTGCTGCAACTTCTCAATGGATTGAGATAGAGTCAAATGCTTTTCAGCGTTGGTTACACGTTACCTTATGATCAATCTGGGGTCATTTACAGCCTCTCACAAGTCCAAAATTTTCTTGGCGATGAGGGGGACTCCGCCCCCTTCAAACCCCCCCAAACAGAAGGGGGCACATCCCCCTTCTGGCAACCCCCTGATGTATCTTTTGGTTGGGGGCCGCGCCGAAAAAAGGGTCACTTTTTTTAACAACATTTCTCAAACAAAAACAAGTGTTTTGGGCCTAAATAAGGCATTTTTTCATCATTTGAGACAACAAAAAAGGGGGGGGGGGGAAAAAGGCGTTAAAAGGCGTGTATATGAAGTAATGGGTTAACAGAAAATGATGAAATACTTGAAATTACCCTAAATCGCGTTTTTTCATGTTTAAACATGGCCTGTCATATAAATTTGAAGAAAAATTGTTGTTTTTGTAGATTTTTTTATTTTTTTCATTAACCCATTGCTTCATGAGCATTTTGTGGAAAATGGCTGTTTTCATTGAAAAGTCTCCCGTTACAAGTTCAAATTGCTCTAATACTATAAAAACTGCTTCAATACTAATCAAACTTGGCACTAATGTTGACTGGACTATTGTCTTTGCAACAACATGCTCAGGCTTAAATTTTCTGTTACCATGGCAACAAGGGGACATCTCAAAATTGCCAAAAATCACTATTTTGCGTTGATTTTTTCCATCAAAATTGATTTCAAAGTGCTGCAACTTCTCAATGGATTGAGATAGAGTCAAATGCTTTTCAGCGTTGGTTACACGTTACCTTATGATCAATCTGGGGTCATTTACAGCCTCTCACAAGTCCAAAATTTTCTTGGCGATGAGGGGGACTCCGCCCCCCTTCAAACCCCCCCAAACAGAAGGGGGCACATCCCCCTTCTGGCAACCCCCTGATGTATCTTTTGGTTGGGGGGCCGCGCCGAAAAAAGGGTCACTTTTTTTAACAACATTTCTCAAACAAAAACAAGTGTTTGGGGCCTAAATAAGGCATTTTTTCATCATTTGAGACAACAAAAAGGGGGGGGGGGTGAAAAAGGCGTTAAAAGGCGTGTATATGAAGTAATGGGTTAATGATAAAGGTTAAGGATTTGAAACAAAAAAAACTTGTACATACAAAACACATATGTTTTGCCATTAATTAAACTAACTCCAATTTTCGACAAAGTTATTTTCGTTTATATTTTGTAGATTGAAAGTTTGAAATTTCATAATCATGCTTTTTTTTGCTTAAAATTTAATTTTAAATGCCCAAAAACCAAAACCCCCCGAAATGCTCTTAATGGGGTTTTTAAAAGGGGGCGTCGATGTAGAACAAAAATTTTTAAATTTCATGGAAATAACACGTGAAAATCCCTTTTCTGGTTTTTTTCTAGGACAAAAAAACAAAAATTTCCCTTTCCGGTTTCATTTTTGGAAAAAAAAAGGAAACCCCTTTTCCGGGTTTCATTTGGGAAAAGAAAACAGGAAAAAAATTTATTTTTTTGTGGGGTTACTTTCATTTCGTGGATGAAAAAAAGGGAAATACAAAGGGTTTGGGTTTCCCTGTTTAAAAAAAAAAATTTATGAACAATTATTTAGGGGTAAGATTTTCATTTGCCAGTAATTGTTCTTTTATGTTGCTTAAGAATTATATAAGTTTTATATAAGAAATAATTGTAAGTTTTACAATGTCACAAACTCACTTGAATAATAAAAAGGGAATACCACATAATTAGCAAGAGAGTTCACTTCATCTATCTGAATTTAATTCAAGATTTTAATCTACAAAAGCTTCTGGGTTTGTTTTTCTTTCTTTCTTTATGTTTACAAAACTTCGTTTTGGCATTTTACATTTCTTTTTTACACACAGACTACATATAAACATGATAAAGATGAAGCCTGTTGGTGCCCATAAATGAAGTGGAGCATACAATTGTTAACGTGATACTGTATTCAAAATATATTACTAATGTATTATTAGTTTGTAATGTTAATTTAATGTATTGATGGATATTTTGTTTAATTTTCTTTGAGTATGTACTCAGTACAAGTAAAAATGAAAAATGTTCTGTTCTATTTTGTATTGTTTTTAGATATGGGTGATACGCTGGGTGTGGTATGCGCTTTATGTTGTTTTGTTTTCCCGCCATTTATCCTGCAGTCTGTCGGTCTATTTACACCAAACTGGGTCAAGACCTCAGACTGCGATACCATAGGCCTTGTATATAGTTGCTGCTCCGGGGACAACAATGACACGTGCAAAAATACAAATGGCGGTGACGGTAAATATGATATATCTGAATTAATACATTAAAACTCATTCTGCTTTTTGTTGATGTTTTACTCCTTTATTTACAGCACAAACAATTTTCATGATTATGGTTTTTACACAATTCGTTTTTGGAGACCAGTATAGGAACCACATTCTTTGAATTCTCATCCCGAGTTTTTACATGATTTTTTTGCTACTTTTGCAAATTGCAATACCGTGAATAAAAGAACTATGATTACTTGGTCACATACATTTAACACAGAGTAAAGTTAGATAGGAATTTAGAAGTCAACTCTAGTTAACATTTAAGATGTATTGTTTTATAAAGGGCACAATTGGTCTCAGGGAACTATTCATAATGTTTGTTTATTTTATAGAAATTTCAAAAATGTTTTTTAATAATGTTTTAATAGGAGATTTAGAGCATGTAAGATGTTAAACAACTACTTCCATACAAAATACTATTTCAATACAATACCAATTGCCAACAGAGCATGAGAATTAAAAGATAGTTCATCTATTAACACATAGGTATTTTTAATGTATAACAAGATACCAAAAGTATGATTTAATTCAGAGGATAAAATTTTAACCTAAAATATTCCAAACAAAAGAACACATATTAATGTTTGTGGTTAAATCTATTGTTATTCAAATAAAAGTTTAGAGTTAGGATATAGACTATGCTTAAATGTCATCATGTGACTCCAAGAGGTGTCGCTATTATTGGCAATTGTTGTTCATTTGGAAAGCATTTAAGCAATAATAGAACATAATAATGAACAATAATAACTTGTTTTATGTTTGAAAATACATGTTGTAGGTAAATCGATAAAAAAAATAATTTGTTTAATAAAGGAAGTGACTAAACGCATTCATGCATTAATTAACTTTAATGACTTACCGTTGACTATGTACAACTTAATTGTGCGTATCGTAGTATTCGTTCTATGTTAGTTTAACAATGCATAAATCTCTGGCATGCCTTATTTAGCGGATACAATAAGAATTCCACCACAACATAACCGTTAACAAAATAGCATAAATATGTTCAATCTATTGTTATTCAAATAAAAGGTCAGAATAGGTGGAATCTTATCAATTGACTAAGGTCATATTAAATTCATAATTACAATTATAATTTCTAAACACTATGAGGGATAATAGTCATTGTTTGCAAATGTCAGAATTTCAGGCTAAAAGTAAATGGTAAAGTAGATTTATCTTACTAGAATATTAAATATGATCTATATAACGCATTTTACTTCCTTGTGATATACAATTAGTTTCAATACCGGTTAAAAGAAATGCAAACAAAAACAAATATAGCCAAAATAAACCTCAGGCAGCCTTGACTGTACTTTAGTAAAACTTTATCAATACAAACCGAGAAAATAGTCTGGCTATGATAACTTTCGTCAGTCTGGTCTAAAAATAGCTTTGCATCCTTGAATGTTGAATGTTGTAAGAAAATAAACAGGCTATCTATATATATATATATCCAAAATGTAAAGTTTAAAACAATACGGATAAAAATAGCGGGAAAAAAAGAATGAAGTGATGCCTTTTCCAGTTTACATTGCAATTGTTTATTAACAAAACTGTAATAAATAATTGAAGAGAAATATCAACCGGTTTCACCCGTTAAAGGGATCTTCAAGATAATGACGTTAATAACGTCGCTTGGTAACGACGTCAAAACAGTGTAAAGGGACGTTACTCTTATAACGTTTTAAAGGGACATAATAATCAGCTATAATATTATTGTTATATATACATCAAAGTTTTTTTGAATTCAATTCTGGTTTAAGAACGTTTATTAAAACAGTTTCTTTCATTCTTCTTTTGAATGTGTCTGGTTCTCGCATTTTATAGATTGGCATTATATTAAACTTTGGAGTGATGTCTTTTGCGCAAATGGCAATGTGTCGACTGACTGGTAATAATGCATTGTCTGGATTTCGTATATGTTGGTTGTGTAATGTTACTCGATTTCTTAAATTTGAAGTTTTTACACTATAATCTTTGGAACATGATCCTGAGATTTTTACTTTAAATTCGCGGCCATTCTTGAAATGGTATGTATTTCCTTCTATCATGTGTTTGCACAGGCCGCATTTTAAACTGCTGCATCTTTTTATTTTATTCTTTCTCAGTGTTGAAGAAAATCGGGGAAATGTCCCTTTAAAACGTTATAAGAGTAACGTCCCTTTACACTGTTTTGACGTCGTTACCAAGCGACGTTATTAACGTCATTATCTTGAAGATCCCTTTAACGGGTGAAACCGGTTGATATTGCTCTTCAATTATTTATTACAGTTTTGTTAATAAACAATTGCAATGTAAACTGGAAAAGGCATCACTTCATTCTTTTTTCACGCTATATATATATATATATATTATATGTATATATACACACACACTTTTGTTTTTGAAAATTATAAAGCAAAAATCAAAATCGATTATAGAAAATAACACAGTCTACACAAGCTATAGAATAATACATTTAATCGTTATAAAAGCTCGGAGTTGTCTGAAAAAAAGATAAAATAAAATGACATTAATTCATGTTTTTCTCTCAGCGATTGTTAACTGCGAAAGGTACACAAGTGCAATATTTACCATTTAATTTATTTTTGTATCAATAATAAGTGAAACCTAAACTGTGTCAAAATAAAGATTAAAAACCCACTAACAATACATTTTACTTCCTCATTTTTGTAAAATTAAAATCTACTTCTTTATCAACAGAACTAGATGCACGAGTCCTTGGCCTTGAGGCAACGGCATTTGCCGTTATGTTCTTGGCAATATTTGGGACTAGCTATGAATCCTGCTGCAGCGGAGATGACGACGAGGACACGGGCTGGTGTGGCCTCATAGGTGGATGTTGTTTAATGATGTTTCCGGTTGCAGGTGTGGACTTCTTCGCGTTTCATTTCTTCCAATTTAATGCTATCTCGCTATCTCTTGTACGAAACATAGATATAGACAAAAACCAGTCCGATATGAAAAAATGTTATCTTATTGAATACGACATTGTCCTTGGCCTTTTATACATGTATATATTTTGTTTACACATTTTGACAATTAGTTAAGATAAATATGCTGGTATTTATAGATATTAGATCTTTCTTGACATGACGAGATAATTATCAAAACATTTTTACCAGTGCAATTAAATTTACAAACTTATTATCTGCTTTTCGGATCGTCTCCCTTTTAAAAACTTGAATATGTAATGTCAAATGTATAATATCAATTAAATTCAAATCACATTAAATTAAGTATTTATTTATTATACATCATAGATATGTGCGTTTATACAATTCAGGATTGTTCAGTTTCATCGGATGCATGATCATTGCCGGAAGTTATTCCACGTCTGAGCTTGGTTGGTCATTTTACCTCTGCCTCACTTCCGGTTGTCTGATTATCATCCTGACTGTATGCCTTTGTTATTGTTTCTGCAAGGTTCTCAAGAATGACGACGACGACGACGGTACGTATGTGAAATAACACAAAGTAGTCTTGTCTCTACTGTTTCGTTCAAAAAAAGTCTTAAATTTGTAATCTTCCCGCTGTCTGGTCTGTTTTCTTCAATAGCGTTTATCTATTAACTCATTTAGACTGTTTAAACAACGTGCATCCCTACAAAAAGTCGGTCAACGTCTGAGTTTTTTTAAGACAAATTCATGATAGTTTCTCATTCTTTTTATCCAAATATAATATCTTTACCAGAAGCGTATATTTAAGCATATCTGGCAAAAACCTCGGACACCTACGAAAGGTAGGTCAACGACTCAGTTAGTCCTAGCGTGGTTAGACTACACGGAAGAGTCTAGCGGGGTAAGCCCTAAACAGCTACAGTTAGCGACTGTGTTTTATTCTTTCGGCTGTTTTATTTTGTAAAATGAAGTTGAATGAAGCTTCTTTTCGGAATAAAACGTAAGGAAACGTACAATCGCAACTTTTCGGCCATTAGCTTAAGTATTCGGATAAGAACCTCGTACATAATAGTAGGAATACGGTGTTAAGGTCACAAACTACTCTATGAAAAAACTAAACATGTAAACAAAAAGTAATTTAAGC